TTTGGTGTGTTCAAATCGGTCCTGCTTCCCAAGTGACAATTGCAGAAATAGGGTGTATTTCTTTCCATTCTTGCTTGCATGGATGAGATAAATTGGATTTCGTTGCGAAAAGAGGTGCACGGGGCAAGGCTTTTCAAAGTAATATCCAGGTTAATAATTTTGCAGGTCATTGTTCCTAATTTCCACTTAATTTCTCATTTGTGACAGTCTGTCCCTGCTTTACCTATTTAAAACTCTGTTAATTGATTATCTGCACTACTGGGAAATTTTGTTACAATCTGCCACAATGATCTAGGTTCTAGGATATCTGTTAGGGTTAGGTATTGTTCCAACTTTGGTGTGAGGTATTTAGTTTTTAAATTCAGTGGTTGGATTATATGATTATTTAGCTTGTATTTTAATTGTTTATTGGGCCATATTCAGGTGCAAGTGAGGTGGACAACTATGCAAACATCTTAAGTCACTAAAATCCCAAAACAATTCACAGCTTTGAATATTATCCCGGAGAGGGATGGAGCCTATCAGATGGCTAGTGTGATCTGCTGTTATGGGGTGGGTGTTGGGGAGTGATTTCCCCCCCAAAAACATTTTTTTTTGTTCTATTGTACTTTACTAATGTATTTGATTGTTTTTTATTTTTATTTTTTGTTTCAAATATGATTTTACATTGTGTAAGTGCCTCAAGTCGCCATGGGCCAATAGGTGGCAATATAAATTAAATAAATAAATTATATGTTAAATAAAACATGAGAATGAAGAAGCTGAAATTAAAGCCAGGTAGCAGTGCTTTTGATCAATACAAAAGCTGGACTGGAAGTAATGATGCACAGTATTTGGATCTGAACAAAGCAGAGGCTGGCATCCATCATGAACACCTTTGTATCTGTTGGCTGCTCCTTAAGCAAATTGTGGACCCCTATAGTAGCCATGTAGTCTCAGGAAAATTGATACTCCTTGGTATCTTTAGGGAGGGCAGAGGTTCACTTACTCCCAGCACTGCATATCCTATTCACCTGCTCATTATTTTCCCAGTATCTTTCCTCTCTCCAGACAGCTTTTGCTAATACTCAAATGCAGCATATCTTAGCTTGTCCACCTCCCCCAAAATCTTCACAGGACTTTCTCTACCTCCCAATAGCAGCAGTGTCCTTTCCCTATAGCAACCAGGGTCTTTTCTTTCCCCTAATCCTTTCTCTTTTCTACACCATACTAAGATAGTAATTATTCTTTTTGGTCAATTAAAATAACTATTCTCTGAAAATTGCTCCAGGTTCTTTCATTTTGATTGCTTTTGTCAGAAAAAAGGGCAACAGCTTTTTTTTTTAAACTCTACAACAGCCCTTTTAGATATGCAGTTATCTGTATATAATTTACCAGGTATAGGTTTTGCCCCATAAAACTACATAGAATATTAAACTAGTTTTTACTTTTCCTAAAAATCTTTAAGATGGAGTTTGTATTTTTTTATGCCAATCATACAGGGGTTTTGAAAATATGGTGTATAATATGTTATACCATCAAAACCATGTGCTTGACACTGCAGACTCCCATGAGCCTGTGACTATATTTACATGTGATAATCAAGACTGAACTTTGGTTTTAAGTCAATATTTTATTTGAACATAACTATTGTGGCCTGTAAATCATGGTTTGTGGTTTATCCTACCAGTTTATTCACCAAAACCTAAACAATTTTATGAATAGAAGAGAATATACAGTAAATGGAGCTAAGGATTGAACTGTGCAGTCCTTGGTACTCTCTGAGCTTGGTTATTTGTTTGCTAACATTTTATTATCTGACTAGGTAACATCCATTTTTCATGATAGCAGAAGTTCTGTTACTGTCTTTTTGTCACAGCCAAAACACTAGCTAGGTTAGAAAACAGGAGAATTATGTGTTCTAATTCTGCTTTAGGCATGAAGTGTGACCTTGGGCCAGTCACTTTCTGTCAGCTGTAGGAAATGACAATGGCAAGCCACTTCTAAAAAACCTTGCCAAGAAAACATCAGGAACTTGCTCAGGCAGTCCTTAAGAACTGGACACAATTGAACAGAAAAACACTGCCTGGAAGCTAGAACTCTGAATCCAAATTACTAATTGTTAGGAAATATCAAGTGTAAGTAGGATTTAATTCTGAATGAAGTTGATTGAGCATTAGGGTGAAATATTTTGTTACTTTCTAAGTTCAAAAATTAGATATTTTCTAATTTGCAGAACATAATACTATATACTCAAGATAATTTTTCTTGGACACTGCTGTTCATCTCCCCAAAGCTTTTTGCTGAAAGATAAAAAGGTAACATTAGCCTATCAGAAGCTACAAGGTGAACTTGTGACCCTTTCTCATTTAAATGCAAAATACATACTGTGAACTGAGATGGCATTTGTGAAAGGTGCTGAAACACACATTGTTGCTCCTTAATGGAATGAAAAACATGCATCTAAAATCCTGCTACCTCTTGTTTTGTATGTTACAAATAGTTTATTTAAAATTGACTAACTTGGAAATGTTTAGTTCACAGCAATGTAAACTTGATTTTTAACGCCATTTATGTTCACTACCTTAGATTGTCTTTTCTATTTTTATGATTGTAATGTATTGTACAGCTTTCTTGATACTGCTACACCTGCAATGAACAGGTGTTGAATTGCTTAATTTGATGCAATAACAATATTTCATTTAGAATGTTGTAATTAAAGCATGAATTGAGAAGATAGGTGTCAAATATTAAACGCTATTTAATATACAAAATTAAAAAAGGAAATTCACCTTTCAAAAATTGCTGTCTTGATCAAATCTGGAAATATTCATTTTTCTTAGTCAAATTCAAGCTGTCATTCACCTGGATTCCAGGAATTTAGTGGAAATAAAATACTATCTTAACTTCATTTTAGCAAATTAATTTGATACCATTCTTTCCAGATGATTATTTAATTGAAAAGTATGTTAGCTGCAATGATTTGTTTCATTTCCAAAATTTTAGATTTTTGTTTTGTAAATATTATTTGTTTAGTCACATTGTGAACACAAATGTAGTTAATCTTTGTGGAGCATTTCTTCAGATGTAAAATCCATTTATTGAGATCAGGTAAATTGAACTTGCGTTATATGTGCAAAGGGGCCCAGAGAGATGCTCTGTAAAGCACATTGGCATGAACTTTGTAAGGTTTCCCGGTTAATCTGTCTGGTGGTCTGTGTGTACTGCACTGGAAGCAATTATAGTAATCTTTTGAAACGAACATGAGGCTTGCAAAGGATATGGTCACTTTAACACTTTGATGTAGTTTTTCTCATGTTAAAGCACTTTTGTGCCTGCCTCTATCATTACAGCCCTAATACAGAAATCACATTTACCAGTGAGTAGTTCAGTTTTCCATATCTCTGTGCATAGAAATGTGGAAGATCATAGTGTAACAGTATCCTACAGATTTCTTCTTTGAGAGTGGTGATTAAAGACAAGAGTGTATTTTCTACACTCCCATGATATTCCCAAATGAGTTAAAATTCCTTCATTATCTGTCCAGGGAATTCTATCTGTACGTATGATATCACTGTTCAAATACTTTGAACTTGTCAACCCTGAATACCAGAGGATCTTACTGGGAAAAGAGAGGCACCAGGAGAAGTAAGGTTACTTAACTTTCTAATTTGAAATCATCCAGCAAAGAAGAAATAAATACCTGAATTGCCCAGACATGTATTATTTAATATTCTGTTTATATGCTATTGGAATTCTAATCTGAAGCTGGTATACTGTGTTGCCAAGCATATTTCACTGGAGAATTCTTTAGTTCTTCAGAAAGAGTTATTCAAACCCTTTTCTCAACGATGAAATAATGAAATATATTTAATGTAATAAATATATCAATTTGGTCTTATACATATAATAGCAGCTGTGGTTTTATGAAATGAGGCCATCAAATTTATTTGTTTATATTTCAACTTATGTGACTGCCCATCTCAAATATGTGACTCTGGATAATTGATTGAATATATTCCATCAAGTTGTTGACTGTTAGCAACCATATAGATTTTCTCTGTGAATTGTCAATAATTTTTATCCATGTGATATTTAGTAAAAAGTATAAGAATAGTTTGCCATTGCCTTCTCTCACAGTATGAATATTGACTGGTAACAGGACATTTATTTTGAAAGTGTGGTGGGGGGTGTAATTTTTTTTCTTATTTGGTCTTTGTATTTCTAGAAAAGGTGCTCTGGGAATTGGGGGATAGACCTCAAATGTGGGACCAGAAATGATTTGAAATGCCGAGGTGGGGCTTTTGCCTGCTTGTGTAGGCACCTCTGTTTTCAGGAAGAATACAGATTCCATCTGATTTACAGTTTTAATCAAGAACATGTGTTCCAAGTACAAATATTGAAGTTGTTGTATGTATAATATATTCCTTGACCAATAGAAGTTGTCTTATTTTCTCATGTTAAAGTATTTCAGGTGGTAAAAGATATTAGTCCAAATTAATTTATTTCATTTTCAGTTGATAAGAATTGTTTTGTCTCCAGTTGTTAGATTTGCCTTTAAAACTCTATCTTCAAACACATAGCATAAATGTAGCACAAGTTAACATCCCTAGGACAAAAATACTAAGCAGAATAATATGATTTAACTTTATAATTTTGTAAATTTTCCTTTGTTCACTTATTTTCCAGTTTTTTGGGTCCTTTTAAAGCTCTAATTTGGATTTGACACTTAGCATTATATTCCAATAAGGTTTGCTACTCTGCTTTATATTAACCTATTGACTTATGAGATCCCTGACTTGAGTTGTTGGATGACAACTGTAATGCCTCAGAGAAGCACCTTTGTGACCTAATTGTGCCAGAGCAGTAGCCTTTATGATCTACTGTCTCATCTGCCTCCTTGCTTGTTCATTTGATATAAAACATTTTACTCCCCTCTACTCCCCTCCCCTACCCCTCCTTCCCTTTCTTGTTTGCTCTGTCTTTTTCTTCTTTTGCTCCTCATCATCTTTCTTATCTGGATGAAGACTGAATGCAGGACTGTCCACAAATTTGCAGAGACAAAAGAACACCGAAGAATACCTTTTTTTTTTCCAGGTAATTTTGTGTAGTCAAAAAGAGACTATTTGCATTTCAAACTTTCAGGTTTATGCTAAATTTTACTATTACTATAAATCATTAGTTGTAATGAAAAAGTTAAGTGACTGGTCAAAAACAAAGTCCTTTATTTTTCTTACCATATAGTTTGTTTTTAATTGAAACTATAGAGCGGGGTGTCAAACTCATTTTCACCGAGGGCCACGTCAGCATAATGGTTGCCCTCAAAGGACCACATGTAAATAAATGTAATCAAATGTAACTACTCCTAAATGTTAATTAACTCTGAATTTATTATTTATTCAAATCACAAATATTACATATGCATTTGCATAAATGTAAAAAAAAGGTTGCTAGTGGCTCTGTTAATATAACATAAAAAATTTACTTTGTCAAGTTAAGAAACCCACATTACTCCATCAATCAATGATTAATCTATCCAAGTGAATAATAATAGAAAAACAACATCCAACATCAGTTATGATAATATCTTTGTTCAAATCCTTTTTGTCACAGCTAGGAGGGGCAGAATAACAGAATAAGTACATCCAACAATTGTGAGCTGTTAAGAACATATGTGACAGATGTAGCATTTCACAAAAACAAATGGCTGCATATAGCCTTACAGATTTGTCTGCATAAACATATAAACCTATAAACACTAAATGCATTACTATACATATAAAGTTATATTTGTAAATAACTCAAAATAACAAAATCAGAGTTGTCTCAATTCACAACTATATTGTCTCAAGTTTTTAGGTGAAGTTCATGAGAAGATGCTGACTGTCCTGGAACACACAGAGTGGATCCCCTCTCCTCCATCATAATCCATTGATCATGTTCTAAAAATAACAAAATGTCAGCACAATCATTAAATTACACAATTCTTCTTGATTGAAATACATTTTATTATATATTAATTAGGTTTTTAAAAATGCTTACTTGTGCATTTTCTGGCTGGATCTTTGACACCGTTTTCCCGTAGCCAGTGTGTCAATGTCTGGTTTTAGGTCTTGTGCTGAAGCAATCCGTAGAACAGCGTGGAGGTTCTCATCAGTGATACGTGATCTATGCTTGTTTTTGTTTAGATTCATTATTGAAAACATCTGTTCGCACAGATAGGTGCTCCCAAACATAGACAGAACATGGGCTGCATGACGTCGAAGCTGTGGCATAGAACCACGGTAAAAGTCCTGGATCGCAACATCCTTGAACTTTGCTTTCGGGCTACAATTGCTTTGAAGCCCGATTAACTCCATCTGAACGTGCTGGGGTGCAGGGCAGATGTCGGTGGTGAAAGGATCAGCAAAGATGGCAAAGTCTGAGTGCTGCGCTTTAAAGTTAGAGAAGTGCCGCTCAAACTCATTTATTAATCGGCTCACTTTGGTAGCCAACTGAGCAGATGAAAAAAAACTTGGGAATGAGGCTGAGATGCTTTGACAAACAGGAACGTGAGCAAGATTGTCCTGTTTGACTTGGCACATCCACAGATCAAGTTTACACTGGAAAGCCGTGATCATGTTGGACATCTGCATAATGACTTGTCTACATCCCTGCAGCTTCTGATTCAGTTGGGCGAGATGCTCGGTTATGTCACATAACATAGCAAAGTCACACAGCCAGTTAGGATCTGACAGTTCAGACACGAATTTTCCTTTACTTAGCATGAAAAGAGCAATATCTTCCCTAACTTCAAAAAATCGTTTGAGGACTTTACTCCTCAGCCACCGTACTTCTGTATGGTACGGCACGTCTCCATGCTCTGAGCCCATCTCCTGCAAGAACAGCTGGAACTGACGGTGATTCAGGCCACGCGCTCAAATGAAGTTCACAGTTTTCATGACCGTGCTCACTACATGATCCATCCCCAGCACCTTCCCACACAGCGTTTCTTGATGAATGATGCAATGATACGTTACCAGAGGCATCTGACAATTACTTTTCAGCATTTTGTTTTCTATTAGTCCAACCAAGCCTGCTTTTCCTCCACACATTGCGGGTGCACCATTTGTAGTTAATCCCACCAACTTTTCCCAAGGCAATGCATTTTTACTCATGGACTTCTCACCATATCAAAAAATGTCCTGTCCCGTTGTGGTCCCATGCATGGCAGCTACATCCAACAGCTCCTCAGTGACAGAGAGGTCCAACTTCACGCCTCGAATAAAAATGGATAGATGCGCTGTATCCGTGTTTTCTGTGCTTTCATCAAGAGCTAATGAAAAAGCTATGTAGCTATGTGTCTCTTGGGCCAGCTGCGTCGACAGGTTTCCTGCTCGTTCTGTAACTCGGTCCACAATGGTGTTCCTTGATAAACTGATGTTTTAAAGTCTGTATCTGGTCGGGGAACACCTGCTCACAGACCTTCAGCATGCACTGCTTCAAAAACCCGCCCTCTGAAAAACACTTTGAAATTCAGGCGATTTCTTCTGCAACGATGAAGCTAGCTTTCACTGCCGCAGTGTTTTTCGTTGTGGCTTTCGTGAACACATTCTGCTGCAATTGTAGTTTGCTTTTTAATTTTTTGACAATCTGTTGTTTTTCTGAAAGGCTAACTTTGGCATACTTAGCTCCGTGTTTGGTTTCAAAATACCGACGTAGATTGTATTCTTTGACAACCGATAATGCCTCGTAACATAAAAGACATACCGGTTTCTCTCTTGAAGCACAAACATGTATTCACCTTCCCATCTTTCTTGAAACATCCTTCCATCTGCATCAACTTTTCTCTTCCTGGACATTTTGGGATCATTTGTAATTCCACATAATTCAACTTGCAGAAAATAACATTGATGCGGATACACTGCAACCTAGTGGTGGGATGTCAACAATTCGCTGGTAACATAATTGGTATGCATTCTGGGAAATGTAGTTTGTGGTCAATGTTCTCTTTTGCTTTATTTATTTAAAGACAGTTGGAACTTTGTAGCTCTTGCGGGCCACATAAAATGACGTGGCGGGCCACATTTGGCCCGCGGGCCTTGAGTTTGACACCTGTGCTATAGAGGATTAGATAGTTCACGGTACCCAATTTTAACTCAGTCTTGAGCTCATTTGGACATCTTTCTTTTACTCTTCTCATCACTGGATTCTTCTCAAGGAATCGGCTAGAGAAACAGTCTGACAGGCAAACTTCCCGATTCTTACCAGTTGTCATTTTTCTTTGCCCAGACAGCTGAGAGCTGTCAGATAGGCTTGCTGGCCCAGAACAGCTTAGCTTTACTCATCCGGCCCATGATAATGGCCGAGGCCGCGAGTCATCCTGTGGTGGGGGGGCTGGAATCTCTGCCCGATTCATCTGGTCATACTTATGGCAGCTTGGGAATCGCAGCAGCAGCAGAATCTCCAGACACAGCTGCCTTTCCTATATTTGAGACAAGTGTCCTGCTTAGTGGCTCCCCGGTCTGACCGGCATAGCCCTTGACAATTCTGGCCTGGATATCGAATTGAGGGACTTGTCTATGGCAGCAGAAGGGGCTAGAGTCCCTGCCCAGTCTACCAGAGCATACTCTCTTTTAAAGCAGTTATACAGGCAGCAGGTCGTCCAAGCGCATCTGCCTTTTTGAATTCACGTGCACAAAATGGAGGCTGTGAGGGGAATCGTGAGGTGATAATCTCAGCAAGAGGGCGGCCTGTCACCTCAGCCTCAGGCCAGACCTCTCAAGGTCTCCATAAAGCCCAAATCAGCTGGGATGGAAGCCACAGCCCAAATTAGGGCCCAGAGCCTTAGCACCTAAGATGCCCATAGAGACTGAGGAGGAGGAAGCCAGGAGAAGGCAAAGGACCTTAGATAAGAAGATAGTGAAGGCCCTCAGAGATGCAAAACAGCAGGGCAGAAAGATTCCCCAACAGATTACAGCGCTTTTTCGAGTGCTTTTTCTAACAAGCTGTGACAGCCACCAGGGGAGCCTAGAGGGCTAAATAGACTGCAGTTACAAGCCTTGTCACTAGATGACTCTGGTGAGCAAATAGATAGCAAGGCTTTTCATTGCCTGTAAACACTGATGTTTCTGCAAATTCCCTGGCAAGCCTGTCAGCAGCAAGGCAGTGGGAACAGACTCTTAGAGGGGTGAGAGCCGCCCCAGAGGCCACGTTTACTCCAACAGTAGCGGGACTCTGCCCAGGGGAGACTCAGAATCAGGATATTCCCTCCAATATGAGATCTTGTATCTCAGAGGCCAGGGATTTCTGAGGACCTGCAACAGCGCCAGCAATCAACCATCACAGTGGCTGAGCGTTCCTTGTATCCAGGGCAGCTGCAAGCTCCAGGTGATGGGGCGCCCTTACAGAACACTTAATCCCTTGAGCCCTCCATTCCAACCCAGTCATCTTTCTCTGAGGGGAATGGTCAGAGGGATATGGACCTTTCAGAAGACGAAGGCATGTCACCCAGCATCCTGGCCTTCACAACTATTTCGCCCCAATTTATTTTGATCATTTTTTCAAGGCCAAAAGTAATGCTCACTTGGGAGGGGAATCAGCTACCCAGGATTCAGACCTGGGATTGACTGGTCCAAGCAACTTCCTGTTTGAAGAGCAAGCCATGGAGGCTGAGGTGATCCAAGTGCCTCAGATTTTTTGATATGGTAAAGAGACAATGGGTCTCACCAGGATATATCTCCTACCCAGTGGCACTGAGCAGACCTTTTATAATGTAGACCCTGATCTCTCAGAGGCACTTTTAAGTTCCAACTGGATGTTCCAGTGGCAACCTTGGCATCTTCCTCTGTCTAACTTAACTGGTGCAGAGGATGTTTGGGAAGCGGAGGATAGAAGAGCGGAGATGTCTTTCCGAAAGGCCCATCAGGCAACTGCCTGGGTGGTTTGAGCAACCACCACAGCTTCCCTTTTCAGTTGGGCCTCATTATGCTGGCTCCAGCAGCTGCGGGAAAGAATCCCGATGGGTGACTTCTGCACCCACCAAGACATTAACAAGCTTATTACAGTAGCAGAATTCTCTGCAGATGCCACGCTGATCACAGCAAAGTTTGTGTCATGGGCCATCATATGTTGTGGCCTCGACATTGGCAGATGGATGCAGAGAATAAGTGGAAACTAGCCTCTGCCCCCCTTAAGGGGGAAAAGCTGTTTCAGGAGTCCCTGGAATCAATCCTAGTGGAGACAAAGGACAAAAGGAAGGTACTTCTGTCCCAAGGCAGGTGGGCTAACTACCGCCCCTTGCCTTATTTTCGGAGGCTCTCGCTTCAACAGGGTGAAGTGGGTCTAGCTATCCACAGCCTCAGAGGTCTTTTTTCCAGGGCCAAATTACCAGTCAGATAGATCTGGATAGGGAAATGGGCAGGCAGCAATTACAACTCAGGCAGCCCTCTCGAAATAGGGCCTTTTGACAACCCAAGTGACTTCAGGTCTCAAACACTGGGTTGTCTCAGCTCCTTTGCAGGTCAATGGAAGGAGACAACAATGGATGCCTGGGTCTGGGAGACAGTAAGGTCAGGGCTTTCCCTCAAGTTCCTTCCCACATCCCTGAGGTTTTTCATCCATTGCCCCATCTCCAGAGTCTCTGCAAAGAGAGACCTCATGGAATCCACAATCCAACATTTGTTGAACATTCAAATCATCCAGTTGGTTGCAGAGAACCAAAAGGGGCATAGTTTCTACTCAACCTTGTTTGTGATCTCAAAGACCTTGAGGGGGTGAGGGGTGGAGAGCAATTCTGGACCTGAAAAGCCTAAACAAGCGTCTGATCTACAGAGGATTCAAGATGCACTCCCTCCAGTCCATTCTGGAGGGTATCAGAGGGGGCAACTTATTAATTTCTGTAGACCTGATGGAGGCATACCTCCACGAGCCCATCTGTCCAACCTACCAATGCTTCCTGAGGTTCTGTTATGCCGGGCGCCACTTCCAGTACAGGGCCCTTTAGACCATCTGTGCCCTTAATACAGAACATAAACTGATTCGGGGCAGCATATTCTCCTCTAACAGACAAGGTGGCCACATCAATCAACAAGCGGGCAATCACTGCAGGCCCCTTATGCAAGAGGCAGAACAGCTGTGCCCTGGGCAGAGAGGACCTTCTCTACTGTTTGTGGCCTCAAGGCCTTCTATATGCCTTTCCCCCTCTTCCCCTGACTCCAGATTTTCTTGTCACACCTGAGAAAGCAGCGTATCGGGTAAGACCAACACTCCTCCTTTATTTTTCTTACCATATAGTTTTGTTTTAAACTGAAACTGTAGAGGATTAGATAATTCACAGATTAAAAATTTATCACATAGCAACTGATCTTTTTTCTCTCTCATATGACCTAGTTGAATGGAGAACACGAGAATGAATAAGAACATTATTGGATGCTTCCAGAATCTATGTAAGTGTTTCTAACTATTTATGTTTGATTTAATTAATGTAGCTTCTAGCCTGGTGCCTTCAATTAGTGGCTCTGCAATAGCCATGCTGGTTGGATTTATGGAAATTATATGGTTCCTAGATTGGAGAACACTCAACTCTTTCTGTCCTTTCCTGTACTTAGTAACCTTGGTGACAAAAGAACGGATACTAATTTAAACATGTGCTTTGGGGTGTTTTTACAATCAAGCACAGTAGCAATTATTACTATTCATCATTGCATTTTTAATGATTATATAAACACTATAATGTTAATGTTTTGAATTCTAATTGGATTAATAAAGGTTAATGCTAAGCTCTCCAGATCAGTAACTATGTCTTGTTCTTGATCAAAAATACAATCATGGTACTTATCCAAGCTGCTCTTTCTTGAGAAGGCTGTTAAGACAGTTGTAGACTTGGGGCTCCCAAGGTTACTGGAGGAAATAAATTATTTAGATCTGTTTCAGTTTGACTTCAGGTTAGGTTACAGCAGTAGAATAGCATTTTTATGGCAAAGTCATGACTGTGTTTTATCTGTCCTAGCCCTCCCTGGTTCCCTTAGTGGCTTTCACTACTGTAGATATGACATTCTTGTGAATCAGCTGGGAGAATTGAGAGGCGATAGGCAGACAGTTTTTGTGGTGGTTTTCCTTTCAGTCTGTTCTGGAGGTGGGGGCGGATTGACAACTACCCTAAGCCCTCTACCTACTCCTATTTACATCTATATCAGTGGTTCCCAAACTTTTTCGGTCCACTGCCTCATCCTCGGTGCCCCCCACCCAAGGGTGGGATTCAAATTTCTGTGGGTGTGGCCTAATTTGAGGGTGTGGTTTGCTGGTCACATGACTGGGTGGGCATGGCTTCCTGGTCATGTGACTGGGTGGGTGTGGCCACGTAACATGCCACCGCTTCCGCATTGGAGGTGCCGGCTCTGGCACGGTGCTACAGTCAATGAGTGAACCTGTAGGACCGGTGCCTCAAACGCCCCCCTGCCACCTCTTAGTGCCCCCCTGCCAGCCCTCTTGCCTCTTAGCGTCCCCCTAAGGCAGGGGTTCCCAACCTGGGGCGCTTGCACCTCCTGGGGGTGCGAGACGATATTCCAGGGAGTGCGAGAAAAGTCCAGGTAAATAATAGGATATTGGCTATATGTTGGCATTTTTATTTATTATTTATTTCAGGGGGTGTGAGGTTCGAGTGAAATTTCTTTAGGGGTGCTGGGCAAAAAAAAGGTTGGGAACCACTGATCTACATGAAGCCATTGGCATAGAATAAAGTATCAGAATGCTGATGATACTCAGTTATGGATTCTTGCCCAAGTGATGTTTGAAAGATCTGGATGGGAAAGAAGAGGGTTTTTTTCTCAATTCTAATAGGACTAAATGGCAGGGGGTTCAAGAACTCCCTTTAGCTGGGCATCTTCTATTGTTTGTATGGAATAGCATGCCCACAGACAGAAGAGTAGATGTGCGGTCTAAGAGTCCTGCTGGAGCCACAGATCTCTGGAGAAGATAGCAGCTGTGCCCAGGAGACCTCTTGCATAAAACCATTTTGTACATTAGCTACATCCATTTCTAGATCTGGAGGCACTGTTCACAGCCATTGATGCCTTAGCCATTTCCTGATGGATTATTGCAATCCACTCTGTATAGGGCTGGCCTTTGAATTCATTTGTTAGCAGTGGAGAACATCCACATGACCCCACTGGTACATTAGCCGCACTGCCTTTTGGTAAGTTTCAAAGTGTAAGTCAAGATCCTGGTTGTCACCTTCAAAGCCATACAGGTTATAGAACCAAGTGCTTGAGGGCCTGTCTGTCTCCACTGGTTTCAGCCCATCATAGCAGATCTATATGGTGGGCACATTCTACATACCTTCTGTGAAGCAGTATCATGGGAAATACGTCTTCCAGAAGGCTTTTCCATCATCCAATGAATAAAGCTGCTTCTAGAGCCTAATATGTGTATTTTGTTATACCGTTAGAAAATACTTGAGATTCTTTACAGAGAATCTGTGAGGAGTCTCAACTATTTTAAATAGATTGATGCTTATTTTTAATTTTTAATTTCATTATGTTTTGTTGGCTGCCTAGTGTTAATTGATTAAGATATGCAACCATCTAAATTTTCTAAAAAAAATAAATTTCTTGTTAATTTATGAATGCAGTCAGAAGTAATTTCCGGGGTTGTGATTATTACAATTTACTTGTCTTAATAGTTCAGAGAAATCTGTAAAATATACTAAGCTATTGTATGATGTTCTGGTTACCTTGTTATATGACCAATAACCAATAGGTTTTCATAGTGTCCACATAATATTTTTGTCTTTTAGCCTGTGAATTCTGTCAACGGGCTGATGACTGTCCTGAAAAATATGGGGAAAAAAGGACTTATGAGGACTGTAATCTCACTGTTCATTATTACTGTGTGGTAAGTACTTCTTGCTGCCCCTAAAGAAGTTTGGGAATCTATTGGAAAGTTAAATAATTTACAGGCTGCTCTTTTGGTATCTGTTATAATATATGTCTTTTTAACAAAATCAAATAAGAGAGAGAACAGAACCATGCAAAGATTCTTGGCAACAGATACTGTGCTGAAGCAGAGAAAACTTAAACTTATTTTTAAGATGAAAAATTGCCAAAGATCTTTTATTTGTTTATTTATATGCAGGCCATCTTCCCGATGGGATGAGTGGGTAGCTTACAGAACATAAAAAAAATAAATAGAAAGAAATTACAAAATTAAAGCTATGCACATTAAAAATTCAAAACTATGCCACTAGAAAGTGGCAAAAGATCTGAATATCATTTTATACAATAAAGTTGCAATGCTAGTTTTACAATTGATAGTGAACCTCTTTGAAAACAATAGGAATTGTTATCAAATCATGTCTGTATTTTCTTAGAAGCAAGTGTTGCCATAACTATCTGAACTTGTATTAATCCTTTATAGTTTTGGGGTTGGCTGGGAAATGTGGACCAAATACAAAAAGGTTTACTGGTAGTCCTCACTTACTGGCCATTCATTCAGTGACCATTCAAACTTACAATGGTACTGGACAAGAAGATTTGCAAACAAACAATCCTCAAAGCTACAGCTTTCACATGAACCGATGGTGACATGAGCATGATTCAAGCATATGTAATAGCCACAGCATCCCATGGTCACATAATTGCTATTTATGACCTTCACAGTTGATTTCTGACAAATAAAGTAAATGGGGAAACCAAGCAGGAGTTTGCAATCATGTGACATTGCACTTAGCTACTTGTAATTTGTTAACAACCACAGTGAAAACTGCTATATTAAATCACATGACTTTTCAGTTTACAACCGATGCATAGTTGAGGCTCCCAATTGCAGTTACTAAGTGGAGACTTACCTGTGCTGAATAATTGGCAACTTTTATTGCCATATTTGCAAAGACAAATATATTGCAAACATGATTCAATAATTTGCTGAAAATCACATATAATTATACTGCAGGTAAACCTCAGTAATGATTAAATTACATGCTTTCTTGTGGTGAAAAGTTAATGCAGATATGTCTAGAATGTCATTTGATTTAATTCTTCATTAAATTTATTATAGCTAATGTCAAGTGGGATTTGGCAGAGAGGTGAAGATGAAGAAGGCTTTTATGGTTTTTTACCTGAAGATATCCAAAAAGAAATTAATAGAGCTGCAAAACTGGTAAGAGATTTTGAATAATGAATCTGTTCCAATGAGTTATAAATATTCATAAATTTAAATATATCCTAAACTCACATTAGCAGTAACAGATGTAATTAAGCTATTTTGGTTGAAAAAGAAAAAAGTTCCATAAAATTTTGTTCTCAACTATACAACTGGAACTATATTATTTTTGAACCAGCTGAATTAATCAGGTCTTTGCCTTAGATACAGTATGCTGTGATGGATACACCAAAGCAGATTTATAGTTTTCATACTAAGGTTTAGAACAGCCTTTCTTAACTGGGTTTCCATGAAACCCAAGGGATTTCATGAGAGAGAGTGATAATGTATGGTTTATTTGAAAAAGTGAATGTTTGCAAGTTATAGGAGTTGATAATAATGTATTAAACAATTATTATTAAGACTAGAATGTATGCAGATATTACATTTATGCATTTAATAATTTATTAAAAATTGTTTTCGGCAAATAATTTAAAAATCTGGTTGAATTGACTATCAGTGATGAATTATTTTCACCATACCAGTGTTTTTCCTTTATAAGCTTCAATACAAAATTACTTTTCTATAAATGGTAATAAAAAAGTTCAAAAATATAATGCTTAAAATATTTCAATTCATTACGGATTAGATCCATAAGTATTATGGTAAAGTCTCCTTAGTTATAATTATTTAAAATGGTGTTTTTTTAGAAATGTGCTGTCTGTAAGAAAAAAGGTGCTTCAATTGGTTGTATAACATCCAGATGCAAACGAAGCTACCACTTTCCTTGTGGAATAGAGAAAGGATGCCTTTTCCAATTCAGAGAAACTTTTCCGTAAGTTTATTTTGTTTCATTATGTCAAAAACTGTTTCAAAAGTACTGAAAAGTACCTAAAATTGCAAAGTTCCACTTAATAACATCAGATTAACTTCAGTTAATATGAAAGCAAATTGGTCCTTACAGCTTTATCTGAGAATATCTTTTTGTAAAGTACATTATTTATCTGAGTAACAATTCTCATTTTTAAGTGATATGATTCTATGTAATTCTACCTCTCTAAGGTCATATTGTTGGAAACACCGACCCACTCAAAAACGTCTTTCTAATTGTAAAGGATCATCACAATGTACAATATGTTTGGAGTTGGTTGAACAAGCACCTACATACAACATTTTGACAAGCCCATGCTGTAAAAATGCTTGGTTTCATAGGGAATGCTTGCAGGTATGTCTGGATTGACATAGCAGAAGTTCCTTTTTATTGCTAAAAATAAAATCTGAAATTGTTATTGTTAAAAAGTACCTCTGTATTCAGAGTAGGTTGGAAGTGAGACAGAAATCAGTGTATGACTTGATCAAGGGAACTCTTAATAAAGTGATCTACAAGGTTGCAATGAAAAATAATGCCTCCACCTCCATAACTTTAGTCCATTTTAATAAATGATATAGGAAAATAATCTTTGAAATGAACTCTTATTACCTACATTTGCTTATGCACATAATCACCACCATTCTTTATATCCTTATGCCAACGATGGACAAGCTTCTGAAAGCTGTCACAAAAGAACTCCATACTTTGTCTCTTCAACCATGTCCTGACAGTCCTATCCATTTCTGCATTTGACTTAAACAGATACCCATAAAGGTATTCCTTCAATTTGGGGAAAAATTGAAGTTGCATGATGCCAAGTCTGGACTGTATGGCAAATGGGGTAAGGTGGTAACATCCAGCCTCTTGGGTGGCTCATGAGCTATGAGGCCTACCGTTGACATAATGCAACAGAATTTTCTTGTGCTTTAATTGTGTTAAAACATTAATTCAGAATTTCATGTATTGCAGTGAAGTACTTTGAGTTCATAGTGGTGCCAAATTAAAAGTAATCTGTGTCCCAGCCATATGTTTTCCCGCCAAACTGGGATTTTAACTTTTTTTTCTACAGGTGCAGTTTTGTCATGGACTATACTTCATTTCTGGATTATTAGGATAGGTCAATGTTTCATTGACTGTCATAATGTTATGAAAAAAAGTCATCACCTTCATTCTCTTAGCATGACAACAATTGCTGGCAAATTTCAAAGCTGCCCATAATCTGCAACTCATCTTGCCCAACCTTCTGATACTGTATTGAAATATATTGGTAATGTGGCCCACATGTTCCTGCTAAACTAAATAATAAGATTGACAGCAGTGTCCCTTGGAATAATCTGTCACTTGTCTTTAACCAATTCAGTAGCATTTTTCATGTGTTGTCTTAATTGTCTGCTTCATTCTGATCACAGACAGATCTTTCTTGTTCACCATTTTTTTGATCCAGCAGCACACAGTAATGTCAATGCAGTCATCACCATTAAAAAAACAACTATATTCTCCCCTGAGCCGAAGGGAGAATCCAGGATGGGTAGTCTCTAGTCTCCTAGCTCTGCAGACCAAGTTGAAAAACTGAGGACACAGCCCCTGGTAATGGTCCCCAGTTCTTCACTCGGTGTCAGCATGTTCAGACCACCCTTTAAGGGCTCTGAATAGTTAGGATTGTAGAAGAATATTCACCCCCTGGATTAAGCTTTTTTTCGCAGAGAGGCTTAGATCAGGCTTGACAGCTAGCCAGCTTGCCAGTTTAGCACTTTCATTTTTTTCGCGCCTTTTTTCCGGTTCGTGTTTTTTTGCTTGTTATTTTAATTTTTTGACTTTCCTTGTTGGTGGACTGGTTTTTTTCTGTTTTGTGCCCAAACTTGGGTGGAGGTGACCCTGAGAGCCTGTGTGGCCTGGGCTGGGGCGGGAGTCGGCGTCTTATTCAACTCGCCTTCTCCCGATCCACTTTCCCTTGCCTGGGACGAGCCGCAGCTGCCACTAAGCGCTTCTGTCCCTTTTCGGTGGCAGCGGCCATTTATTTCATTTGGGGGCAATCTTGCAGTTCGTCTCCAGGATTGTACCTTGGGGTGGTTCTGGCCATTGGGATTAAATCCTGACCCCCCCCCCCATCCAGTCCCCAGAGCACCGTGGCAGCTGCGAGATGCTTGAGTCTGCCTGATAATTGCAGTGCAGCCAGGGCCAGGCTTGCAAGCCTCTGACCTGTCAGGGCATGCTGCAATTCAAAGAGTCAAGTCATTTTTCAACATTTTTTCCCTGACTTGGCTTTTGAATTGCGGAGCTGTGCTGAGCTCCCCACTTTGGGTAGCACTAGCCTCCTGAAGTGGTGGATAGCTACTATGGCTGTAGCTGACAGCTTAGGCTGAATATTTTTTGGTTTTTTTACTTCTTTTTCCCTTTCTCTACCCCTGTCAAGTGACAGTTATTTTTGGCGGGCTCAAAGATGGCCACCAAGGGAGCTGATCAAGAATTGTCAGTTCCTCAGCAGGGTAGAGAGAAGGCTGTAAAGGGATCTTCTAAGCCCAGGTCTGCTGGTCTGGAGGCAGCAGCTAGGATTAGAGCCAGGGCTTTAGCCCAAAGAGACCCTCTAGGGCTGAGGATAGACAGGCCAGGTGTCGACAAAAAGCCATAGACAAACAGTTTGACAGGGCAGAGATTCCAGAATGGCAGAAAACAGAGCCACCTCTCAAACTTTGCCTCCTCAAGATGACAGGCAGCCAGACCAACTGGCAGATAGTCAGTATATGACTGCCTGGTCTCCTGGGGGCTCAAGTACTCAGGATTTGCAGGGAAACCTCCAAATCAGGGCTGAGACCTCTCACAATTTTTCTGAGCTGCCTCGGATCTTGATGGCGGCACCTGCAGACCAAGTCTCCAGAGGAGCCAGACCTGTGCCTGCAGCCACCTTTACACTTACAGCAGCTGGCTTACAGCCTAAGGAGACCCAGATGCAAGAAATGCCATTCTTCATGACAGCCTGGATCTCCCAAACAATAAGACAGGTATTGCAGGCAGAGGTCAACCAGCTGCGCCAGCTGTCTTATTTGGACACTAACAGAGGAGTCCTGCAGGGGCAGGCTTCTGTAGAACAGCCGATCCACTTCAGAGAGCGCTCGGCCTCCCCTTCAGAAAGCAGCCAATTTTATGGCTCCAAGAGGGACCTCCTTCCAGAAAGGATTTTTCTGATGAGGAGTCAAAGGTAGCAAGTCCTCCCTCCTTCTTTAAGGGCCTTTTCCAGCCGGCTCTTTTCAAGACTCTGCTGGTTAAGGCCAAGAGCACGGCTCATCTCAAAAAGGACACGGTCACTCAGGACTTTCCCACTGAGGGAGGAGGATTTCCTGTTCACTGAGAAAGCATCTGTGGTGGATGCTGTACTTGTGCCCCAGATGTTTCTGAACCTGATCAAAAAAACAGTGGGAGTCCCCTGGGATGTACACTCGCCCCAGTGGGTCTGAGTCTACCTTATTTAATGTGGACAAGGACCTTTTGGACATTATGGAAGTGCCAAAGGTAGATGGCCCAGTAGTAGCCCTAGCTTCCTCATCTGCCATCCCCCCTGATGCGGAGGACGTTTTAAAGACAGAGGACCGGAAGGAGGAGACGGCACTCCAGAGAGCTCATCAAGCTGACTCCTGGGCCATCAGAGCATCGACGACCGCATCTTTTTTAACTCGGGCCTCTTTGCGGTAGCTGAGGCAGCTACAGGGCAGAATCCCACCTAAGGATCTCAGGGTGCATCAGGACCTGAATAAGATTATAGCTGAGGCTCAATTGACTGTTGATGCCAACCTCACATCAGCCAAATTTTCTTCCAGAGCCATGGCCTCTTCCATAACAGCATGCAGGTTTCTCTGGCTAAGAAATTGCAGATGCACGACAGAACCAAATGGAAGCTGGTGTCGGCTCCCTTTAAGGGAGAGAGGCTTTTTGGGGAGGCCCTGGATCCTTTTCTGACAGAAACCAGGGACAAGCAAAAGATCCTGCCCTCCCAGTGGAGGCGCTTTGATTACAGGTCTCATCCCTACTACAGGAAGCCCTCCTTTAAACAGGGGAAAGCTGGGGCAGGCTTTCCCCATCAAAGTAGGCCCTTCTTCCAAAGATCCTCGTCTCGGGCCAATAGACAGGCCTTTGCTGCCAGAGGACGTCAGAGGCAAGAGGGCAGAAGGTCCTTTAGGGGTTCCAACAAACCCCTCAGGTGTAACAAGTGATGCCTGAGCCTCATCCCCCAGTCTGGGACTGTTCTGGCAGAGGTGGGAACAGACCACAATGGACGCTTGGATCCTGTCACCCTTACAGTTGGGTTTCTCTCTAGAGTTTCTCCCCTCCCCCACCAAGAGCCTTTGTGTGCTGTCCCATCTCCAGGGACCCCTCAAAGAGAGATCTCATGGAATTGGCGATCCACCATCTGCTGGACATTCAGGCCATCCAGCTGGTTCCGGTAGACCAAGCGAGACAGGGTTTCTATTCAGTGTTTGTGATTCCAAAGGCCTCGGGGGGGTGGGGGGGTGGCGAGCAATCCTCAACCTGAAAAGGCTCAACAGACATCTTATCTACCTAAGGTTCAAGATGCACTCCCTCCACTCCATTCTAGAGGGACTGCGGGAGGGAGATTTTTTTGGCCTTGGTAGACTTGATGGAAGCCTACCTCCATGTGCCCATACACCCCAACCACCATCAGTTCCTGAGGTTTTGCTATGGCAGCCACCATTTTCAATACAGGGTTCTCCCGTTTGGCCTGTCATCAGCCCCTTGGACTTTTACCAAGCTCTTGGCAGCGGTAGCGGCACACCTCAGAGCCTTATCCATAAGGATCCAATGCTTTTTGGATGACATCCTGATAGCATCCTCTTCCAGACCCCAGGTGGAGGAGGATCTGATATCGACAATCAGGATTCTTCGACAGCACGGGTTCTCGATAAACCTGGACAAATACCACATAGTACCATTGACTCTGCTCTTACATTTGGGGGCAATCATAGACACCTTGGCCGGACAGGTTTTTCTCTCATAGTAGCGTCGAGACAGTATCAGGGAAGTCATGTCACTGATCCTGTCTTCCAGAGAGGTGCCTATCATCTTGCTGTCTCAACTTCTCGGCAAAACGATATCATGCATCGGAATTGTCCCTTGGGCCCGCTTCCATGCCCGAACCCTTCAGTGGTTCCTGCTCTCTTACCAGAGGGCGAGCAGGGGCAACTCTCCAAGGAGGGTTCGCGTCCCCTTGCCAGTTCTTCGTTCTCTCCATTGGTGGCAGTCCCGAGCCATGGATCAGGGATGCTTGTACAGGGAACCCCAGAGGATTACCATCACCACCAACGCCAATCTCTATGGTTGGGGGCCCACTTGGGAGTCCAGGTCACCCATGGGAGGTGGTCACGAGAAGAGCTAGCCCACAACATAAATTGGCTAGAGCTCAGGGCTGCCTGCTTAGCGCTCAAGGATCTAAGGCAGGAGGTGGGGGGGAGACATGTTCTTCTCACAGACAATGTAGCTACCAAGGCCCACATAAACCAGCAGGGGGGCACACGCTCCAGATTTCTAATGTAGGAGGAACTCAATTGTGCAGGTGGGCAGAGAGAAACCTGTTGTCCCTACGAGCAGGACATATCTCGAGAGTGTCCAATGTGTAGGCAGACTGGTTGAGCAGGGCCATAGTCAAGCAGTCAGAATGGCGACTGCATTTCAGTTTGTTCCAGAAGATGACGGAAAGCTTCGGCTGCCCGATTCTGGATCTCTTTGCATGACCAGAGAACATACAGGTCCCACGGTTCTTTGCTCGATTTCCTGCCTGGGGAGCAGAAGGGGTCAACACTCTCTGGTGCAAGTGGCCCCAGGGACTATTGTATGCCTTCCCCCCCCCTTCCCCTGATTTCGGGGGCAATCAGGAAAGTACTGATAGAAAGGGCAGAAGTTCTGTTGGTAGCCCCTTACTGGCCCAGACATCCTTTGTTCGCCGACCTGTTGGGCCTGTCAATCGCCAGACCCTGGAGAATTCCCCTGCACAAGATCTCCCTCAGCCAGGGCCTGGGTCGCAGGATGACACCTTCCACAGTAGGTCGCTGGCTCAAGCCTGCATCGCAAAGGCCTATGAGTTAGAGCCTTCCTGTATCCAGGAGAATCACAGAACACTCAACCAGAAGTGCAGTGATCACCGCAGCCTGGGCAATGCAGGCATCTATTCTGGACATTTGTAGAGCTGTGACCTGGTCATCGGTGACACCATTCATAAAACATTACAAAATTGACTCCTTTGCCTCAGTGGAAGCATCCTTTGGAAGACGAGTCCTGCAGGGTGTGCATGTAGAGGTGGGGACTTCCGACCAATCCAGATCCCACCTGTAGGACAGCCATCAGCCAGCTTTGGTATGTCCCATCCTGGATTCTCCCTTCAGCTCAGTGGAGAAGGGGCATCGGTCCTACCTGAATGCTTCTCGGGGAGCTGAAAGGAGAATCCAGGCCCACCCTGTATTCTGTCAGGTCGGAATAGGGAGGAAATGTCCCTTTGTTTCGCAGTATCAACTGAGCTATCTGTTTGAGGACGAGGAGCAGCTGAATTCACTTCAATGTCGTTCAGAACTGGGGACCGTTACTAGGGGGTGTGTCCTCAGTTTTTCAACTCGGTCTGCAGAGCTAGAGGACTAGAGACTACCCATCCTGGAGTCTACCTTTGGCTCCCTGAGAAGAAGCATTCAGGTAGGGCCAACGCCCCTTCTACAGTGAAAGTCAAAAATTAAACATGGTTGTTGCTACTCACTGATGAGTAGTCACAGGCTTCCATTTTCAAAGAATGAACAACATCAAGGCAACCTTTTATCACAGCAATCTTCTACCAGCTGAAGTGAAAGGACATATGTTAAAGAGCATCTTAGAGGTTTTAGTGCACTAGTATTATCATGTTAGTGACATTGAAGGCATTACTTTTCATTCATTCCTTGTAGTTAGTAAATAGAAAATTTTTATACCTGCATCATTTATTTCTTCTTACAGATACGCCTTAATTTTCAATTTACTTGTTTCTGTGTGAAGTAAATAAGTTTTATTGATCGTTCTTTATTTTTCTCTTGGATTTAGTGTCAAGCTCTCAGTGCAGGGGTATATTTCTTTAGATGTCCTGTATGTAATAATAAAGAAAAATTTCAGAACGAAATGTTAAGAATGGGCATCCATATTCCAGAAAAGTAAGTGATTTAAATTACATTTAATGTGTATTATCTTATTATATTGTGTGAGTGCCTTTTTATGCTGTATTTTGCTGTTATTTCTTAATTAACAAGAAAAGCTAAACTGCAGAATTAAAGTATTCTAATAAATGTTTAAATGATTCCAGAGATGCCTCCTGGGAATTAGAACAGAATGCCTATCAAGAACTACTTCAACGTTACCAACATTGTGATATTAAAAGATGCCTTTGCAAAAATGGAAGAGACTACAATGAGCCTGATAGGTAGTAATATATGCTGTCTTTGTCGCTATGCATATCTAATTTCGTAATAGTTTTTGAAATGTAGCAAACAAAATTAGAATTAAAAAAATCAAGGCAGGGAACATATACAATGCTTATTCCTCCTCCTATTTTCTCCATAATAGCAACCTGGTGTTAAATGAGTTGGACTGAGAAAAAGATCATCCAGCTGGCTTTCATTCCTAAAAATGGGTCTAGAATTCACAGTTTCCTGTTTTCTAGACCAGCTGCTTAATCACTGCACCAAATTTATTGTATTTGGCAAACTCGTTGTTTCTTTGAAATATTGAATAATTCCTTTTATTATAATAAACAGTAGTTATGAAAAAGGTATCTCTTTTAAAAAGTATAAGTATATGCTTATTTGCAATCAGATAACGATTAAGGATCCTCATCTATATCTACCCTTTGAAGTTAGTGGGAAGTTTGTGTAAGGCTTTTTTGTCACTTCCCATTGAAGCTATATTGTTAATAGCTTTCTGTCAAATGGTGAAAATTTGGTTTTCTCAGAAAGCTTTTAAGAATGACAGCATAGATTATCTGTAGGACTGAGTTGCCCATAGATTAGACTCTAAATGGTTTGTGATTGTTTGATGCGGTAGCTTTTTCTGTGACAATTCTTATTTGTAATGTATGTCATCCTATTTATTAGCAGTTATTCAATAATAGTGCATTGTAGAACAAAATGTAGTCAAACCGTTGCATTAAGTATCAATAAATTCATTTCCTGATAGAAAGGCAACCTATAAAATAATTTAAAGTGCTTTCACTCTTGTATTTTGTTACATCCCAATAAATGTGAAATTAATTCCTTTTCAGAAAAAATGATACTGTCTATGTAGCTTTGCAGAATTAAAGTTATTGTTATAATTAATAATACATTTTCCCTTCCTTTTAGCAAATGGGAAATAAAACGCTGTCAATATTGTGGTTCTAGTGGAACTCATTTGGCATGTTCCTCACTAACAAGCTTGGAGCTAAACTGGGAATGCACTGAATGTAGGACCATCCTTGCCAAATCAAATGGTAAGAACCCACTGCTCATATGAAGCTTGAATTAACTGAAAGCTTTTAATGCTTATGAAAAAAACCCCACATTTGATTACTTTGTTATATAGGCAGTGCTCAGAAATGGCGAAAGCGTTCTTTGAGTTTGCCAGAAAAAGCAGACGGAGACAATTTGATGGAAGATCCATCACCCAAATGCCCTAGACAGTCTCCAGGATCCCACCTTGGCATCCATATCAGGCATGTGATTTCAGTCTTCTCACAAGCATGTGAAAAAGTTTTATAGAGAGCCAATTTGGTATAGTAGTTAAGGTGCTGGACTAAAAACTAGGAGATCATGAGGTTCTCTAGTCCTGTCCTAGTTATAGCAACCAGCTGTATGACTGGCTGTCAGCCCAACCATTTTGTTTCACAAGATGGTGGTTGTGAATAAAATAGATAGAAACGTGCATCATCTTAAAGCATAGGTGTCAAACTTGCCACGTCATGTTGGCGTCACGTGACTTCTGCAACATTTTTCCCATTCACAGAGTTGGGGTGGGCGTGGCCTATGCATGACACATTCGGCCCATGGGCCACCAGTTTGACACCCCTGCCTTAAAGTCTATAAAATAAAAGTAAGAATATAAGAACAGCAATAATATTGCCCATAGGTTGCGCTTATGCTAATCAAAGTTGAATATGATATAAATAAGCTGAAATGTGCTACAGTGAGTTCAGACTCATATACTCATTTCTTTTCAATTTCCTACATAATCATAACAAATTGATGCTTTATTTTCTTACTTTATACTGTTATGTCACTCATACTGACAATCTATTGTAAATATTTGAAACTAATGCTAAAAGCCATATCTCAGGAAATTGTCGAGTATAATAGAAGATCAGCTGCAGTTTGAGTTGTACTGCATCAAAAGCTTCCAAATATTTGTGCTCAAGCTACTTTCTTGCATATCTGTATTTTGCTAAATTATAACTAACCAGAATGTATATTAAAGCAAGCATTTCATGGTGAATTCCATGTATCTCTTAGAAATTCTTTAAAGCAGGTTTTTTTAACCACCAGAAAAGCTGCTCTCTTAGCAACTGATGTGCTCTTGTGCATAAAAAAATCTGTAAACATTTATGCAATATTAACAAACCTTTCTATGAAACCAGCATAATTCATTTAACTTTAAAAAAAACAATCTAGCTTTTGATGCATTATTTATTGTAAATAGAACTATTTGGATTATGAAGAACTGCCTTCAAAGTAGGTTTGGGATGATATATAGATATATATGTATGTATGTATGTATGTATGTATGTATGTGCTTGGATTTGTGTGTTTTCAGCTTGTGATTTGTGAAAACAAATCTCTAACTTTGGTAAAAATTAAATTATTCTTGGGGATGCTCTTTTTCCCTTCAGGTCCCCAAAGATGGTGTGCTCCAATGGTTTTACTCCATGTTCACAACTAGATCTTCCCTCTTCTAATAACAGATTTTTATCCCCATCTCCCTTCATCAGTCCTTCAGTAAGGAATTTGTCTTCTAAAAAAATGTAAGTTAACGAAGAGTTGCATTTAATGACTGAGTTTTAAAAACATGGGTAATTGGGTACTTTGCATAACTTTTCTTTAGATCACATTTCAAATAGCTGTTGAATTTTTTTATCCTCCAAGATTACTTCCATTCGTAGGGAGATCAACCAAGTTGACAAATAAAAATTTGTTCAATATTTTAAGAGAGAGCATCCACCAACCATACCTCAGAATTGGGCCCAGGAAAACTGAGTGGGTATATGGAAGCACTCGTTGAATGCCACTCTCTCTTGCAACACTTTCCCAATACTTTTGGTTGGACTCATCTGGTTCTACTAGTTTGGTTTTTAAAAAATAGTTTGCCTTCTAATACTGAGTACTGTAAAATAATAATAAATACAATTTAAGCTTTTGCACGCTGTTTCAAAATTGGTAATATAGGCTTTAAATCTAAATGGGCATGCAGATAGACAGGATTTTCCATTACGAGATAGGATTACAATCCAATGATCTCAGTTGTAGAAGTACTTCACTCCCACAAATATTTGGAAGTGATTATACTCTTCCAAGAAAATTACTCTCCGGTGCACATTTTCAAGAGGTATAAAGATCTATACTTCTATTGATAGAAGTATTAATCAGAATTCCATTCAAGACTTTCTGTTACAACCAATACCACAACCCACATTTGCTATCTCAATAGAAATGTGATTTTAGATGCTTCTTTAATGAGTCTAAACTGCTCTCAGATTGGGATGCAGAATAATCCTTTTGTTTCCCTATCTAAAATTAGGCCATTACTATTAAATAATTTTATATATAAATTTTATACAAAATACTCCTGATACTTGCTTACTATCAGAATTATTGCTGAAGTACTAAATAGATGCTTTGCTATTCAAACAGGCAACTTGGAATGCAGAAAAGAGAAGTCTCCAAAATTCTCAAGGAATTAAGATTACAGATTAATACCAAACCAACAAGATTGAATATCATCAGACAAAATATCTGGGGTAGTGCTCTAAAAGGATTTCAGAAGCGGAACTTCAATCCTGCTAATACTATTGAAGTAAACTATATAAACGTCAGGAATAAAATAGAGGTGGATCTCTGTTGCTCATCAAAGGAAGATTTTTTTCAATTGCTGATGCTTCATCTTCAGAATTCATCATTGTTTGAAGGGGAGCACTCAAAGAACTTGTCCTTTGATTCTCAAGGTAAGCTTGACATGTAATTTACACCAGGAGGGGACGCAGCTTTGATTGCTACCTATATTTAGACATAAATAATGTTGGCAGAGGTAGGGGCCTTTATTCTAATAGCGTTAGAATATCTTAAAATGGCTACTTCAGAAGTTTGGGCTAAGTACAAAACAAACAGAATTTATTAGGAGTTTTGTGTCAAGTTCAGGGTAAATGCTGTCTTGTTTCACATTGTTTTAATTATTCCCAATACTCTGAAATTGGTGTGGCTCATTTTAAAAATTATTTCAAACTCTGAAGATTTGATTAGAATATTATCTCACAATGCATCACTTCTTCTTTTCATTAGCTGGAATAAGCTGACCTAATGAATGGTGAAGAATTATTCCAGCAAGTAAAAACAAAAATGAGGCTTACTGGTACATTGTGAGATAATATAGTAATCAAACAAAAAGGCTTTTTCCGGCCTTTCTACCCCTCAGAAACATTGCATTCATTAGTTTTCTACCCAGAAAGTTAGCAAACATGATATTTCTGAATGATACAAAGAGGCTTTTCATACCATTCAGAACAATTGCAAGAAAAGCACCAGCATTCAGGATGTTTTTGAAGGCAAGAAAGGCTGGATTGAGCCTTTTTACTGTTCAAAAATGTAATGCTTGTTAGATTTCTGTCTAGAAAGCTAGTGGACACAATATTTCTGAATAGTAGGAAGATTGGAAAGAAGCTCAGATCTTCTTCCCAGTGGGGAGAGGGGAGAGATCCAGTGCTGGGCTGGAGGAAATTTTGCATCCCGAAGATCATTGTTTACCCAGCCTCGACAGGAGTTTCCCTTCTTCATGGAGGGGAAGGGAAATCCTTCTACTGGCGGCAGCAGCTTGTAATCTTCCCTGCTGGCTTCCCTATTGACTTTCTGGGGAAGCCAACAGAGAAAATTGCAAATAGTAATAAACTGTGCATGAACACAGGATGCTTAACAACCAGTTATAATTGCCAATAGGTTGCCAAGCACCAAAAAAGCTACTACATCAATGGGGAGGGGGGTGTCAGTTATAACTTCAAGGAGAGGTTGTAAATATTTTTTTCTGAGTGTCTTGTAACTTCAAACAGTCATTAAGCAACCAAGCCTACTTACTTGTAGTTCAATTTCCTCTATTGACCTCAGCTCAGCTCATGCTAAGTCAACATTTTTCCCTGGGTAGTTTCCAGGCTTTAAAAATACATTTCTTATAATGATTTGGTGGTATGCAATAATAGAAGTAATTAAAGAAGTTAGAGCTCAAACAGAACTTGTTTTGCCATTATTATTTATAATAACTATAACTATTATAAATAATTATGTTTCCCCCAAAATAAGACCCAGTCTTATTTTTATTTTACGTTTTGCCTCTGAAAGAAGCATTAGACCTTATTTTCAGGGGATGTCTTTTCCACTGTCTCACCTCGCGGTGATAGCACCAAGAGCCCCACCCATCAGGAGCTGGTGTGGCTGCTTCCGGCCCACTTGCACATGACAACCCCCCCAGCCTTCATTTCACCATCAGAGGCCTTCAGGAAAGGCCTCTGAGCCGAGAAACGAGCTGCAGATTGACACGTGTGGTGCCCCCCGGGCTCCATTTCACTGTCAGAGTCCTTTCACCATCAATCCGGAGCTCATTTCTCAGCTGCAGAGGCCATTCCTGAAAGCCTCTGATGGCAAAACAGAGACTGGTGGGGGGTGCAGCACATGTCAATCTAGAACTTGTTTCTCAGCTGCAAAGCCCTTTCCTGAAGGCCTCTGACCGCAAAACAGAGACTGGGGATGATGCATGCAAGTAATGGCAAGCGGCTACAGAAGTAGTGGGCCGGTAAGGCGAGGCAGGTGTCAGGGCATGGGAGGCCTGGCTGCAACTGTCCTAAGGTAAGCGGGTATGGGGCCCATGGGGCAGCTCCACCCCCCTCCATCCCCGCTCTAGCTTGATTTTTACCTGTGCACCTTGGCCCACCTCATGCAACCAGGTGCAACGGAGTGGATGGGAGTCTTAACTAGGGCTAGGGGTTATTTTGGGGGTAGGGCTTATATTGGGCGCAAGTCTAAAAATCAAGTTAGGTCTTATTTTCAGGGAAACACGGCATTTCCAATTCAGGCCCTTATGCCTAAATACTGTAGGTAATATAGGTTTTATTCAATGAAATATAATGATGGGGTATTTAAGGATTCAGAACAGAATTTCTAACTCAACAGAGAATAGTAGTCAACTGTGTAATATAATAAGCAAAGGGCACACATTAAAAGGAATCATAAATATAACAAATGAAATTTCAGAAATGATACTATTCTTGCTGATTCTATTCTCATATTCTAAACTTGAATGTCCAAGTTCAAAAACAAATCATATTTTGTATCTAATTCTCAGAAGAAATGAAAGAGCCTTTTTTTGGCCTTACAGGACTCTAATTTTAACTAATGGTGTAGAAAAAGATAATACTAGTTTTTGGTCTAAATGTCCATGTAGATTCTCAATCATCCAGGACCAGGTTGTCCCAAACGTGCGTTTCAAAAGGCAACCAGACTTTTTTGGTTTTTCTTTAAAAACATTTTGATTCTCATCCAAGAAATTTCAGTTCTGACTGAATCATGGGGGATGGAATGGATTTTGGTCTAACTTTTTTCTCATATTAAAACAAGTTTCTATCAGTTGTAGTCAGTAAGTGTACCATTTGTACTTGCAGCTCTTAAAGATAATTTATACTATGAAGCAGGAAAAATGATTGCAGTTTCTCTGGTTCATGGAGGCTCCTCTCCTAGCTTCTTTTCTAAAACCTTGTTTCACTGCCTTGTCTATGGCACGGAAAATGTGAAGCCAACAGTAGAAGATGTTGCTGATAAAGACGTTTTGCAGGCAATAAAGAAGGTAAGCAATAGCTCTGTAAGACAGTAGGAACTTCCAGTAAGAAAGAGGAAAGAGAGTCACAGATGGGCTGTCCTCATGATTGTGTGTTGTGGTGTATTAAAGGATGTTTTTGAGTGAGGTGGCACTTACCCTAGGTGGAAGTTAGACTTATAGACCTGCTTGGGCTATTTTTGGACTTGTTCAGGCTGAAGGAGCAGATTGCAGGATGAACCACTCTGCAGTACTAGTCTTGCCTACCAAGATGCATCTGTGAATTTGGCAGCAGTTTTTTCAACAGGACAGTGGAGGTTTTTTTCACACCAGCTCAGTCTGCTTGTCAGGGACCTGTTCAGGTCACACTGGAGGATGGATTGTATTTGTTTAGTTCTGCTGGTCATACTTGTTATACCAACTGTGCTTGTGAACAGTGGTTGTGGGCATGGCTCCTTCCTGCACCACTGTTTATCACTGATGGATACTGAGGGTTTGGAGGTATAAGGGTGGCAGAGAGATGTTACAGTACTGTGGAGATCATTTTGCTTATTCTCCTGGTAGCCCCAAGTAGGAAGAAAGCAACTAGATCATGTCATTGTCGCTTCCATCTGATGCCTAAGTGCCTTGACTGCTGGCATATTGGTTTCCACTGTAGACTGAGGACTTATTTTCTCTCTGGGTGAGAACCAAGGGGACTTGAGGGATGAATGAAGCTCTCTACCAATTGGTGAGAGCAAC